TACAACCTAGAAGGCTAAGGAAAGGATGAACAAAAACTGAAATTATTCAATGATATATGTATTTTCTGCAAAGAAAATGACGTTGGAAAGAGGTTGTACGTATTTCAAGGCACAGGGTGTTGCGAACACTGCATAGAATTTGTTTGTTTAAACAAAAAGTTTAAAGTAATGCGAAAATCTCTATTTTCTTATGGCATTGTAGATTTGGTCACATTAATGAGACAATAATATCAAAGTTGAGTACATTAGATTACTTAACACCATGTGACTTTGAGTAACATGGATTTTGCGTATTTCTGTCTTAAATGAAATGATGACCAATAAGCCATTTTCTTGGAAAAGGGACAAAAACTAAAGAATGTTTGAGTTGGCCTACATTGTTGTATGTGGACCTTATGAAACTCAAGTTAGAAGAGAATTTCCATACTCCATCATCTTTGCTAATGATTTTAAAGGTTGAGTTATGTGTGTCTTAAGGAACACAAATCGAAGCCTTATAAAATTCAAGAAGTATAAGTTTGGAGTAGAGAAACAACATGACTAAAGTATCTTTTCGATTTGATCGAAGAGATGAATACTTGAGCATGAAGTTTCTTATTACTTGAAATTTCATGGAGTCCAATTGTAATGGATACCTCCTAGGACTCATTTGATGGAGTCTTCGAAAGGAGCAATCAAACCTTATTAGATATGGTTAGATCTATGTTAAGTTTCACCACTCTTCCACATATCATTGAGGTTATGCCTTATTCAACTCGATTTACATTTTGAATAGAGTTCCATTGAAATCAGTTATTAAGACGTCATATGAATCATGGCGTGGCAGAGGCCTTGTCTTCAACATATGTGAACCTGGGGTTTATCTAGCATATGTGAAGAAACTTTTAACTGATAAATTGGAATCTAAAAATGAGAAATGTTATTTTGAAGGATATCCAAAGGAAACACGAGAATACTATTTCTATCTTCCTGGGGAACATAGAGTAATTGTCTTTAGATAGACGATGTTTCTAGGAGAATATTATTTCTTCAAGAAACAAGGTCGTGTTGTGATAGAACATGAAAAGTTCAAGAAATTCAAAATAACATTGAGGTTCAAGAATTGTCGTTTGATATTGTCAAAGATTTGAAGGGAGGTATTGGTTATTCCCTAAATAGAAATTTTTCATTTGATGGACAACTTCTAGCTAGTGGGAGTAATATGGGTGAAACTGCAAAAGTGCAACACACTCATATACAACCAATACCTAATGGCTTGGACGCCGTTCATTTTCAACTAATGCATGAAAATGCGATTTTGAGAACCCTCAAATCGTTGAACATATCAACATACAATAACTTCTTCACGATCAAAATATACAACCACAAACGCAAAATATTGAACTCCGTAGGTTGACTAGAACTCGTCATGAACTAATTAGATTGTATCTTCTCTTGGAGGATCACGACGATATAGAGATTCCTACGAGGATGATCTTAGGACCTACATTGAGTTTATGTAAGACATAGACTCAAGGAGGTGGCTTGATGCCATAAAATCATAAATGGACTCGAGGAACACGAATCAAGTTTAGAATTTGATTGGTTTGCCAATTGGGTTAGACCTATTAGATACAATAAGTTTTCAAGAAGAACACTTATGTAAATGGCAAAGTACAAACCTACAAGGCTAGGTTGGTGGGTAAAGGTTATAGTCAACGTGAAGACGTTAACTGTAATACCCTTTCACCTATTGACAAAATTAAGTCCATTTGGATTTTACTTGCAATAGTTGCATACTATGATTATGATATTTAACAGATGGATGTTAATCGTTTTCCTTAATGGGAACTTGGAGGATGTACATATGGTACAACCTAACGGTTTTATATCCAAGTCAAATTCAAAATTAGTATGCAAGTTACAACGGTCCAATATTGGACTTAAGCAAGCCTCTGGGAGTTGGAATGTATGTTTCTACAAAGTTACATAATTGTTTGGCTTTGTTAGAAGTAAAAAGAATCTATTCGTTTATAGTAAGCGCAATTAGGATAATATTATTTTATCATATATGTATGTGACATATTGATAATGAAATGATGTTCCTAACTAGCAGTCCATGAATGATTGATTATCAAGTACCTTCATTGTGAAGGACTTGGGTGAAATCTGCTATACTCTTGAAATTAGGATCTATCGAAATAGACCTAATAGAGTGTTAGAGTTTTCATAGTCCATGTATGTAGTCGAGGTACAGAAGTGCTTCTCTATGGAAAATTCTAACAAAAGAGAATATTCCGATGGTCATGACGTTAAGTTGGCAAAGAAAGATTGTCTTTCAATTGATGTCAAACTTGGGCGCATGAAGAAGATCCCATATGTTTATGCAATGGAGTCTATCATGCATGTTAAGAAACATACAAGGTCTATATGGATTATGCACTTAGTATCACTTGCAGATTCCAATAAAATCCTAGGAAGATATATTGGAAGACTATTAAGACTATTATTTAGTACATTACATGGACTAAATAATATATTTTATTCTATGGTGAGAATGATGATTTAATAGTTACATTCATTTCAATGATGTGGGAGTAAGCTGGAATAATTCAAGCAATAAACCACTGCGAATTCAACCGCAAAGGCCAAGTACGTTGTTGCATTAAAAGCCTATAGAAGCTGTTTGGATACATGAGTTCTTAAATGAACTAGGGGTAGTTCCAAGTGCCATTTATCTAATATCTACATATTATGATAAAACGGTGCGATTGCACGGGCAAAGGAACCAAGATCCAACAACAAAATAAACATGTACAAATGCGCTATCATTTATTTAGAGATAATTGATAGAGGAGAAATAAGTTAAAACATGTTCAAACTGAACATAACTTGAATGGTTCGTTCACCAAATCATTATGCATAGTTGAGCACAATAGTCATTTTAAGAAAATGTGTATTAGATACATTGGTGATTGTCTCTAGTTCAAGTGGGAGATTGTTGGTATATGTGTCCTAGAGACAATCTTTTTGAGGACTTATATACATGATCACATTAATAATTATATTGAATTATAATTATGGTATTGCAATTAATTAAATAATTGTTTCATTGTTTGCAATTTATTAATTAATTGTTCTCTTGAGTTAATACTGTCATTAACAGAGTGAGATGTTAATTGATAAAGTATAACTCTCAATTCGCCTCAATCGATGATCATTAAGAAAGGGATATTAATGATACGCGATAAATTGACATATGGTCTGCATCACATTCTTGGAGAATATAGTATGTCTCACTGCTATGAATAATTGTTATTCGTGATGGACACATGGATACTTTGGAGAGTATCGGTATACCCTACCGATAAACCATTTGTTTATGTGTCTATGGGAGTATCGGTGTGTGGAATGGTATAATAGTCTTTTGACTTGAGGTCAATACGCAATTCATGTATAGAGTGATTTACTTAGACCTAGTCCAAAGCTTACGCCCTTATGGGTAGATACGGGCTTGTGTTGGGTTGTTCACGATATATATGGAATTGGTAGTTGAGCCAAGATAGGATTCATTCCTCGAATATAGTTTCGAGAGAACACTCGTTTTCTCTATACTAGGTTGATAAAGTCATTGGCCAATGCACGTGATTATATTTGAAATAGTGTTCAAATATAATTGATAAAATCAACCAGTGAGATGAGATAAAATGATTAAGCTATTTGGGTAGACACACGTTCAAATCCTAAGCTTAATCGAGTGGTTCGTGAATGAAGGGACCGTATCACTATTGAGTTCTACACGAAAGGTTTGTTTGCTTTGTCTATGTAAACGTACTTCATATTTTGAGTTCATCCTTCGACGCAGTCTAGGAGTTTTGTGAGGAACATAAATTAGATTTATGTCAATATATGAAGGCCTATAGGGTCACACAATATGCAATCTATTTTCCGGCTAAGAGTGAATCGAGAGTGTTAAATATTCAATTAGATTGGAATATTTATTTTTGAGTAATGCGATTATTTTCTATTTGATAGAAAAAATTTAATTAAGTTAAGTTTGACTTACATTTAATTAAAATTTAATTAAGTTAAGTTGGACTTACATTTAATTAAATCATTAATTGGATTAGGTCCAATTACCTATTGGGCTAGGTTATCCTACGGCCCATATAATTAGGTTTAACCTAATTATAAATAGGTCATTATCTTATGGGAGTCAAACATACGATCAGATCATTAGATGAGAGAAAAGAAATACATCGTAAAACACAAAAACACTCTCTGGCTTTCTGACTGAGGATTTCTAGCGTCTTCACCAGAAAGGATTCATTGCGTTGGAAAGTGCACCGGGATCTAGATTGCGTGGATACCATAGTTGAAGACAAAGCTTAAACTGTAAGTTTTCGTTGATTATTCACGCGATTTAGGATCATATCGAATAGCTATAGCCGGATCTTCATTGTTGGTAAGAAAATTTTAAAATTCCGCTGCGCGTGCGATTGATTCGTACATCTAAAATCCAACAGTACTTATGATGAAAATGTTGTCAGGTCGTATAATTGATATTATTTAGTTTATGGAAGGCAAAACGTGTAAATTTCTCATTTGAATGGGACTTTACAACTTGCAATTATGTATACAAAAAAAAAAAAAAANAAAAAAAAAAAAAAAGGCCCAATCATTTGAAAGTCACTGGGCCTTTTGATATTTGAGTGGCCCACGCAGCGAACATGCAAGTAAAAAAGAAAGGAAACACCTTGTCCCACATTGAAAAACTAACAAAGAAATAAAAAGTTTATAACCAAAAAGTCAGCCAACCTGTTTGAGTTAGTAGCCAGTGGGCTGGTGGAACTGGATCTGGTTTCTTGATTTTAGTCGGTTTTGGTGCTCAGCGGTTTAATGCCTCAGACGAGACCGCTGAGATGTCCGATTTCTGGTTGAACCGGCCGGTCCGGTCCAATTTTAAAAACTATGTTTTATATGCATTTTTTCATCAAAACTTATTTTATATAATTTCCTTTCTAAATTTTACCATACAATTTAAATCATTCGTATAACCGATGAACACATGATTTTTTTTTTACTGGCTAATACAATAACATATACAGATTACTAATATATATCCCCTTCGTAAAATGACTAAAAAATATGTTGAGAAAAAACAAATGGCATTACAAGCTAAAAAATCCACGGGCTATATGTATTGTTCGATAAAAATTACAAAATAAACCAGAGGGCAGGTAAATTAGTTAAAGGCTATATAAGTACATTAAACGTTAGTTGCTCACTGGTGGTGAAATATACAGTGGCACACCAGGTGTAGGCTCAATTACCTTCACATCCTTTAGTTCTTTCAACAAAATCTCCTGAACTCGTATAAGCAAATATTAAATTGCTGTTAATGGTTGGTCTACAGACATAACAACAGCTGTAAACAAACTGTACAAGAAGTGTTCAGGATTAATGTTACACAATATCAATGTCCGTCATCCCAAGTTATAAGTTTTTTAAGACGTCATGATGAAATATACCTTGTGCATTCACAGACGTTCAGGATTAATGCCGATGTTATATAGTTATAATATTTCTACGACGTTGTGATGAAATATAGCCTGTGTAGTCACAGATACCAATTGTTAAAGCAAAAAGAACCGACTTTCTATTTATTTATTTGGTGCAACAAAAAATGTCTGAGAGACGGCCTTCAGCATATAATACTCTTACTATAAAAAAATTTATTAAAAGCATATCTATTTAATGTTTTCCCTTTCTAATTTCAAGCCAACCTGACCCGACTAAATTTTCCGTTCCTAATTTCATTTAACCTCATTTGTATCGTTGTCCTACTTCACAGTTAAATATCCAGTCTATTTCTAAAATTAATATTAGGCTCAATATCACTAGTCATAATTAGAAGATCAAAATATTTGTCATGCATTTTGCCGTACCTTGAAAGATTCCATGGTTCCTTCAGTTTGAACAAGAAGAGAAAGAAGCCCTTTGCTATCTAGGTCGCCGTTTTTCATTGGAACAACAAACCTGAAAACAGGAGCCAAAATGAAACATATTCATGTCTGCAATCACATTGGTGTGATAACTAATAAAGAAACAAAAAGTATTGCACCTGTGAAAATTTATA